CCCCCCCCCCGGTCTCCATTGCCCCTGAGTCTCTGTTCCCCCACCTGTGTCTCTGTCCCCCTCTCTGTTTCTCTGTTCCCCTCTGTCTCTGGGTCTCTATCCCCCTCTCTCTCTAGGTCTCTGCCTCCTCCCTTCTCCATCCCCCTCTCTCTGGGTCTCACCACCCCCAGTCTCTGTCCCCCCTCTCTCTGTGTGTTCATCCCCTTCTCTCTGGGTTCCCTCCCTTGCTGTCTGCCTGTCTCCAGTTTTCCTTCTGGATGCCGCTCAGGTACTGGGTGCTGGTCCCTGCTCTTTCAGCCCCTCCTGGCAGCCCCTGCACACACCCCGGGGTGTTGGCTCTCATTACCTTTTCCCTTTCCTGGGGGAGGAGCCTGAAGCCTTGGAGAGACTGACACTTCCCTGCATCCCCACAGTGAGCTCCAGCTTGTGAGCCTGCGGCTGCCTCGGGCCTTGATCCTGGCTGCCTGGGGCTCTTTCTCACGCTTCACCACCCACTGGGGGACGTGACTCAGAAATAGCTCTGGTGGGAGGCAGACAGCTGCGGCTGGAGAGACACTCACGAGCGAGTGGGGCGAGCTGTTGTGGCTGGGGGCGGAGATGTCTCCTGGGTATCCTTCCAGCCACAACGCTGCCCTATTCTCTTCTTTGCAAAAAAAAACTGTTGTTTCTCTGCAGCTCTTATTCCTGCCCGGACCCTCACTCAGCCTCCTCTCTGGCCTCCCAGCCTCCCTCTTTCCACTCCAAATGTTCCCTACCCAGTCCAGGGGAGCCTTGGGGAAAGAAAGGACCTTTTCCTCTGCATCAACCCAAGCAGCCTTTTAGTCTTGGCCTCTGCTTCTTACAAGCTCTCTGACCTTGACTTAGTAAATGTTACTCCACCTCTCTCTACCAAAGTTGTTTGTTTTTTGGAATCGGAGTCTCACTCTATCACCCAGGCTGGAGTGCCACTAGTAGCATGCTCATGGTCACCGCAGCCTCGACCTGCTGGGCTCCGACGATCCTTCGGCCTCAGCCTTGCAAGTAGCTGGAACCATAGACATGTGCCACCACGCCCAGCTAATTTTTTTTTTTTTGAGTTGGAGTCTCACTCTGTCTCCTAGGCTGGAGTGCAGTGGCACGCTCACGGCCACTCCAGCATCAACCTGCTGGGCTCCGGTGATCCTTCCACCTCAGCCTTCCATATAGCCAGAACTACAGGCGTGCGCTACCACGCCCGGCCAATTTTTTAAAAATTTATTGTAGAGATGAGGTCTCACCAAGTTGCCCAGGCTGGTCTCGAATCCCCAGGCTCAGGCAATCCTCTCGCCTCAGTCTCCCAACAGGCTGAGCCACCGCACCCAGCCTACTAGTGAATCTTAACAGTGTCATTTTGATCACAGTTGCTGTGAGTGTAATTCACAGTGTCTGTGTGGAGCCCAGTTCAGGTCTGGCCCAGGTAGGGGGTGAGGGGTCGAGGTGGGGGCAGTGAAAGGACTAAACTCCATGCTTTGGTCAGGAATTCCCTAAATCCCCCTGGATCTTGCTCACCTCTCAGTTTTGCCCCAGATTCTTTTTTTTTCTTCTTTTTTTTTGAATCGGAGTCTCACTCTGTCGCCCAGACTGGAGTGCAGTGGCCGCTCCCTGCCACCATAGCCTCGACCTGCTGGGCTCCGGCGATCCTTCCGCCTCAGGCTTCCAAGTAGCTGGAACTACAGGCGTGCACTACCACACCCGGCTAATTTTTTATTTATTGTGGAGATGAGGTCTCACCAAATTGCCTAGGTGGGTCTCAAACCCGTGGGCTCAGGCAATCCACTCACCTTAGCCTCCCAAGGCACGGGATTACAGGCTGAGCCACCAAGCCTGGCTATTGCCCCAGATTCTTAGGTGACCCTTCTCGGAGAACTCCTACTCATCTGTCAAAGTCCAGTTGGAATACTGCCTCCTCCAGGAAGCCTTCCCTGATCCTGCCAGCCTGGTCTGAGGGGCCCTTCTCTGGGATCCCTTCCATTATGGAATCTGTCACCCCCGTCTGTGTCTGTCATCCCTGCTGGGAGCTCTTCAAGGGCAGGGACCTGGCCTGATTCCTCTCTATGAATCCAGCCATATCCGGGCCATTTGGACATGACCGAACGAACTAAAGTCTAACTCTCAGATTCATAGCTGGATGTCAGGAAAGGAAGAGGCAGCTCCTCTGGGTCTCAAGGAGCAACCAGAACTTTCTCACTCCTCCTCCCCACCCTCAACATTTGCCTACCGCCAGCTGAAGGGCCCTTGTCTTCCCAGACGGGGACCCCTCACCAATATTTCTGTGATGTCTGGGTCCTCTGGAGCCCAGGGTGGGGTGAGGGAGGCGGGGGGCCCGGACAGTGCGAGTGGGCCGCCGCTGTCTTCTGTGGTGGAGTCTGTCCCCGAGGAGGAGTCGGTGGGCTCCATGGAGGCCAGGTTGAGCAGTGACACATTGGTGCAGGCCGAGGACCGTTTAAGGTTCAGGCACCAGTGCATTGGCTCATGGGACAACTGGGGCTCCACTCTGGGGAGGAGAAACAGGTGGAGAGGTCAAGACCCAGCCCTGGCGAGACCTGCCCTCACCAGCCCTCTCTCCCCCCTACTTTTCCCCCCTACCCTCTCTCCAGCACCCATGGTGAGTCTCCTTGGCTGGAGGCACTGCTGGGCACTAGGACCATCCCTGACAGGGTGCAGCAAACCCACCCTTGGAAGGACACGACCTTCTTTTTCTTGGAGATTCCCTTGGCCGGACTGGTCAACCCCAGGGGAGCCTCAGGGACCAGGTGGGAGCGGCTCTGGACCCCCGTGGGGGGATCTCCCGCCTCGTGGATTTCTTTGGACTGCCAGATGGTCTTCACCACCACACTGGCCATGGCGTGTGGGGGGTCCTGCTCCCCTCCCAGGGCTCCTTCCTCTGAGACGCCCTACCTACTCTGACACTGACCCTCAGGGTCCCCTTTCCCCTCCAGCCTGTCTCACAAAGGACCCAACCACTGGGCCCAGCTAGAGGGGGGGGCGGGTCCCCAGGGTGGGAGAGGTGTTGGCTCAGGTCACCCCCCTAGGAGTCTCAGTGGATTCTTCCTGCTCAGGGTCCTAGTTCCACAATGTGTCCCTCTTCTACAAGACATTCAGTGGACGTCCTCACTCAAGTCCACAACTTAGGGTGGGTTGGCCCATTGGTTCTATTTTTTTGCTTTTTTTAAATAGAGACAGGGTCTCACTACATTGCACAGGCTGGTCTCGAACTCCTGGGCTCGAGTGATCCTCCTGCTTCGGCCTCTGAAAATGCTGGGCTGACAGGCATAAGTCACTGCACCTGGCCGGTCCATGGGTTCCTGGGAGGGGTCCAACTTCCCTCTCCCTGAGGTTGACCATGGGGTCAGCTAGCCCTGGACACTCACACTTGATTCTTTATGCCACACCCTTGACTTGGCACTTGCCTGGGGTCTGGGAGACTATGGCAGATGAGGACTGAGTCACAGGTCCTGCCCCGGAGGGTCTCACATTCTATGGGGCATTGGTGGGAGGTGGGGGAGGAGGGGAACCGACAGAAGTTAAAACAGGAAAATACAAGGTTGGTATGTGACATAAAGAGAATAAAATCAGGCATTTGTTAGAATCCATCAATCTGTGTCCTTGGGATTTGACCCTTTTACTGTGTATGAATTTTACATATTAAAAAAGAATCCAAGCCGGGCTCGGTGGCTCAGCCTGTAATCCCGCGCCTTTGGGAGGCTGAGGTGAGTGGATTGCCTGAGCCCGTGGGTTCGAGATCCACCTGGGCAACTTGGTGAGACCTCATCTCTACAATAAATTAAAAAATTAGATGGGCATGGTAGTGTGTACCTGTGCCTTGCAAGGCTGAGGTGGAAGGATTACCTGAGCCCAGCAGGTCAAAGCTGCAGTGGCCAGGAGCATGTCACTGCACTTCAGCCTGGGTGACAGAGTGAGACTCCAACTCAAAAAGAAAATAAAAGAAAATTACATTTGTGGATTTGTGGCTTCTACTGTGTTTCTATTGGACATGAGCATGGGCGAATGGCACCTTGACTGCGCCTGAGTAGGATAAAGTGGTCCCAGGGGTTTGCAGAAGGCTGGACTGGCTTCTCCAACCTGAGCCCTCATTGGACTTTGGAATTCCTTTGCTTTACGCCCAGTCTTAAACATTAGTATTTGGCTAATTCATGGCCTCTGTGGGGTTGAGGAGAAGACTGAGTTTCCTTGTTGACCCCTGACAGGACCTAGAATCAGGTCCCAGGTGGGCTCAGGGCTCAAGGTGGAAGGTGAGCACAGAAGGGGAGGTGAAGAGTTGGGGCAGGGTGAAGGGGCCTTTTCTCCCTTCTTTTTTTTTTTTTGTTATTTAGTTTTTGTTTCTCTGCAATCCAACTAGATGTGGAAGGGAATAAAGAAAATATAGAACCCAAAGAATTGTAGTGAGAGCACAAAGACTATAGGGATACTGCGAGCAAACGGGATGGAGGGGGTGCTCTCCTGAGCTACAGAAGGAATGATCTGGTAGTTTAAGATAAAACAAGTCAAATTTATTAGAGTTGTCCACAGTCAGCAATGGTGATCTTCTTGCTGGTCTTGCCATTCTTGGACCCAAAGTCCTCCATGGCTTGCACAACATTCATGTCCTCTTTCACCTTGCCAAAAACCACATGCTTGCCATCCAACCATTCAGTCTTAGTAGTGCAGATGAAAAACTGGGAACTGTTTGTGTTGGGTCCAGCATTTGCCATGGACAAGATGCCGGGACCTGTATGCTTCAAGATGAAGTTCTCATTATCAAATTTCTCCCCATAGATGGACTTGCCGCCAGTGCCATTATGGCGTGTAAAGTCACCACCCTGGCACATAAACCCTGGAATAATTCTGTGAAAGCAGGAACCCTTATAACCGAATCCTTTCTTTCCAGTGCTCAGAGCACGAAAGTTTTCTGCTGTCTTTGGAATTTTGTCTGCAAACAGCTCAAAGGAGACACGGCCCAAGGGCTTGCCGTCGACAGCGATGTTGCAGAACACGGTGGAGTTGACCATGGCTGATAGGAAAAGGCTCAAGGCGGCGGCGTCTGGAAAGCCTTCCCCCTTCTTTAGGGGCCAGACTTTTCGTGTTCTTGGGACTCCCAATGTCTTCTCTCACACCCCTCAAAAAGAGTAGTTCAAATCTTGCTGCTAATAATATATATTTATATTTGAGTCGGAGTCTCACTCTGTCACCCAGGCTGGAGTGCAGTGGCACACTCACGACCACCGCAGCCCCAGGGCAAATGATCCTTCCACCTCAGCCTTGCAAGTAGCTGGAATCACAAGCGCACACCACCATGCCTGGCTATTTTTTTTTTTTTTTTTT